AATTACTCTCTCCACCTCACTCACTCACTGTTACACGACTGCAACACTGCCCGAAACGGCGTTAAACCCCCATCAAATTACTCTCTCCACCTCACTCACTGTTACATGACTGCAACACTGCCCGAAACGGCGTTAAACCCCATCAAATTACTCTCTCCACCTCACTCACTCACTGTTACATGACTGCAACACTGCCCGAAACGGCGTTAAACCCCCATCAAATTACTCTCTCCTCCTCACTCACTGTTACATGACTGCAACACTGCCCGAAACGGCGTTAAACCCCCATCAAATTACTCTCTCCACCTCACTCACTCACTGTTACATGACTGCAACACTGTCCGAAACGACAAGTATAACCATACTCACCTACTTATTCCTACTCGATTAAGCCAAACATATACTGTCCAAAAGAAGTAGGGGATATTCCATTTCACATGCATTGTTCTAGTAAATACAAATGATTATCAAGGAAAGTATTATTGATCCTTTGAGAGTAATCATTTTGCGTAAAAATATTTATCGCCCAAACACAACACTGACTTGCCCACAGTATGCACGTGATAACTGTGATGATCATGGGGGTTGAACCTGACATTTGCACGATGTTGGATGTGACGTTTCTCGTCATTAACAGAGGAAATTGGAATGTGCAAACATCAATTTGGTTGTTTTAGAACTCTGTTAACAACTTTGAGATATGCGCAGACTTTCTCGAGATGACAGGTTACGTGCCCTTGGCATGCTACAGGTCGGCACAACACAGACCCTTGTGGCACGAAGTTTGAACGTTTCACAGTCCGTCATCAGTAGATTATGGTCCAGACACCGTCAGGTAGACCAAGGGAGACAACTGCGGCTTAGGATAGCTTTACAGCCTTAAGAAATCGTGTTATAACAGCCAGTCAGATTAGAGATCGACTGCAAGCAAGTTCTGGTGTTAGAGTGAGTGACCAGACCATCAGAAATCGACTGCACAGTGGTCAATTACACGCACGGCGTCCTCGTGTCATCCCCTGCTTGAGAGATGGTCACATTAGGGCAAGACGTCTTTGGTGTTAGAACGCCAACGCTGGGATTATCGACGTTGGAACAATGTATTGTTCTCTGATGAGTCCAGATTCGTGTTAGACTTCGTTGATAGACGTAACAGGGTTCGGCGTAGACGTAACGAACGTTTCCACGATGTCAACGTCATTAGGCATGATCGTTTTGGAGGGGGGTCTGTAATGGTGTGGGGTAACATCACTGCGGCTGGAAGAACGGACTTACATGTTGTTGCTGGACGTGTCACAGGTCAGTACTACCGGGACAACATCCTGGCAGCCCACGTTGTGCCATTTGCTCGACGCCATGGCCGCCGTTTCATCTTCCAAGATGACAACGCCAGATGTCACAGGGCTAGGATTGTCACTGAATACTTCCAACAACAGAATATCACCAGATTACAAGGGCCAGCCTTATGTCCAGACCTTTCGCCCATCGAGCATGTCTGGGACATGCTTGGACAGCACCTACGGCGACGTCAACAACGGCCCACTACTCTCCAAGAACTTGCCGCTGCATTGCAAGAAGAGTGGAATAATCTCCATCAAAATGACTTGCGACGCCTCATAAGGAGTATGCCACGTCGGATCCGTGCCTGTTTGGCCAACAGAGGGGGATTTACCCATTATTGACTTGGTTTTTACCGTATGGTAAATTTGCAGATTGACCCTTGGTGTAGTTTGACCCATACCACAGAATGTTCTTGTTTCCTTGGCATTATCAAATGTATGGAATATAATTCCATATGGTCCCTTAACAGTTCTTCATTATTTGTTCCGTTCTCGTTTTCACATGTTGCCTCTCATCAGCCATCAAAGTCCGATATCCCCTACCTTTTTGGGATAGTATGCTTTGCCTGTGATGCACAAAAGCGTATTTATATAGTTTCTGCATTAAACTGATTGGAATTCGGGATGCAAGAACAAATCTCTATAACTCTGCTAGTCCTAAGAGACGATTAAACGGTGCTGAACGGCGTCTATTGTCATGGTCATTCTTACTTGAAAGCGATACAAGAACCTGTATCGAAACGTCGTGCTCTAGAATAAAAGAAGTTGTCATCTAGGCGTCTGTTGTGTTCACGGCTGGTATGTCTGAGTCGAGTATGTCCAGGCGACTTCCAAATCCTTACTTCAGCGTACTGCGACATTAAACAGAAACAACCACGGGACTATAAACACTGTGGAAAATATCATCATTCGCAATCAAATACAATAGTTCAAATCATGAATACGTTACTTGTAGGCTGAAAACACGTGTAGTCGCCGAAACACAACAACTATGTAGCGCAGTCCAACTTTAATAGTCGTATCGTGCAGATTTCCATTGAGGAACATGTTCTTTCTTTCTTTCTTTGTGTTTTTTTTTGCACAGTCACATCAGATCAACTCTGATAATTTGTCTCATAACCCTGGACACCCGAATAAATTAGTTGTTTAACAAACAATTACCACTGTGCTGTCACACACCGGCACCATTCATGTTCTTTCTTCCGTTGTTTCATATTAGCCATCATCAGACTTGCTGGCATATTTTCTTATGCCCATGCAGCCCTTCATATATTCCTCTCTCTTTCTAATGCTTGGTAAACAGTTCCCAGGAAATACATTTGCGGACAAGCACATCAACTACATCTAATATAATTCGGATTTATTTTTTAAAAAATCGGTGTCTATGCATAAAAGAGTACAAAAATCACATTCACGAACAAGACGACACATGATGAGAGGCTGATCGGCGTCACAATGTTTACAATATCCGGGTACTCCCAGACAATGCCGTGCATTGGGCAACCGTGCATGTATGTTTTCACCTGACGGGCAGTGGCGTGTGTGCACTCGTACTTGCCGGGTGTGTCTAGCGTTAAATTAAACCTACTATGTTGTTATATACAATTCTATTTTTAAAAAACCCAAAAGGCTCCCCATGGTTGTCGAGAAGAATGCACACTCACAATATATTTTTAACAAAAACGTGATCTATATTGAAAACAGCCCGAAACTAATCTTGCTTTTTTAAGATCCATCATGTATTAATGCACGCCTGGTCTGTAAACGTGCAGTGAAGGGTCCTAAGCCTGTAGTTTGTGACCAAGTTCTGCATGGAACTTGTTTAGATGTTAATATATTCTGGTTGCAGGCAGTTTGATGCTTGTAGCTCTAACGATGCGTGAAGCCCATTGCTGGTGTCCCCCGCCGTGATATTGCTGGTGTCCCCCGCCGTGATATTGCTGGAATATTGCTAAAAGCGGCTTAAAACCAAACTCACCCACTCACTCACTCTAACGACATTTCTCGCGGGTGAAATTTGGTTGAGGTCCCCCGTGTTTGTCGTCCGAGTGTAAATCAGAACGTCAGCTCACAAAAACTGATAAACTGGTTGGACAATCTTTAATACACATGATTTCCGAACAGAGCGTGCATTGCTAATTTGAATGACATCACCTTTAACACCACAAACGAAATAAGCGTGCAACTTCAGTTTTCCAAGGTTCGAGGTATTTCATTCTGGTGTTTACGTAAAAAAATCTTTCAAGCGAGTCCTTTGAATATCGTTACATTAATATCCCAAATGTAACACCAGTTTCAATATATGTTTGTATGACAAGACAAGGTCAATCTGACTGCAATGAAGGAGTTCGGGTTTAGACGGCCGGTTATCTCCCTTTGGTTGTAAGCTGCTCGTTAGTGAGTCGTTTCTCGCCTGGTTGAATCTCGACCCTCGTTAAGTTGACGTAACCATATGGACAGCTCATTGACACGGGCCTAGAAACATACCTGTATATGGACAGGCTGAGGAAGTGGAGAGAAGAGCTTAGTATGGGTGTATTTGAGGGTGGGGGGAAGTGGGACTTGATACACATTATATTATTCTCATATATTCTCGGTTGTTTGGTAAGAAAGAATTGTATGTTCACGAGTAGAATACAGCAGACTTATCTCTATCCCTGGTTAGAAAACAACCCTCCAAAAATACTTGCTCGTACATAAATGTTCACCGGTTCAGTAATATCAGTTGTATTCATTGTCAAGGGAAACAACTCTTTCTGCTCTAAAGAGCTGTTCGCTCGAATTCACTATGACTATGCCCTTTCTTTGATTTAGAAACTACATAATACAAGGCAAGTGTAGTACGTATATTCAAAAAAGTTTATTATTACGTTATGATGTGAAAAAAGGTTAGTACATGTATATTCTATAATTTCATTATCGACAGCTACAAGACATTGAGTAAGCGCAACTTAGATTGTCCAAACAAAAACGTTCAGCAGATAATATATTGTTCACGAATATGTGATAAATAATTTGGTTTTCAACATACGTAAACCTTTAGATAAGACAGTTGCAGTGTGGTAGGCCTAAAGCAGTTTTATGTAGTCAGATGTGTCTTGACGTTATACATAGGCGCTACTTACTTGGACTATTTTCACTCGTTAGTGTAGCTATGTTTCTCAGTTAAGATGGGAGTTGGATTAATAACCGCCATACCTAAAACCATTGGAAAAAATAAATATATTATTTAGTCAAGGTGGATCGAACACGAATAAGTAAACTATTGTGTGATCCAAATTTACGCATAGCGAAAGTGACAAAGCGATACTAGTTGTTTCCCTTTGCATGGCATTTTAGCCACGCCTCCCTAAATTATTACCAAAATGACCAATTTACACGACAATTAGATGTTTGTTCATCACATACAGCTTTGATATACGTGTAGAAATATTTTATGAAATTATATTGGAAACTGTCATCTTTGTAATTCAAGCGCATACATGTTAACCGCTGTCAATGTGTCTATTTCACAGAAGGATTTCGGTCATTTAGCGATTGTTGGCTGCTCATATCAGTTGTAAGGAAAAGTGAACATGACCATATAAGGCGCAGAGCCTATGAACACGCGGCGAAAGAGGTCACGTTTATATAAAAACAGTATATTTATATTCTCTAACAGCGTTTGGAATAACATTCTTCCGCTAAGAAAAGTGTGTGGTATACGTCTTATCAACTGACATTGTGTATTTTCGTATTTTTCATGTCTGTCAGGGCGTGAGTGTGGGAAGTCGTAATTTGCATCACAAAAGCCCCGCACATGCGCATTCATTGAACAGCTGAGAAGCGAGGGTCGTGGCAACTTGAAATAAGACAGAGAAAAAATCTGTGATCCCAGTTCAGTCGTCAAATCGGTAAGTGACAACATTCATTCAGGATATATTTGTCAGTTTACAACATATTTTCATTTATTGAAACGATCTGTATCTTTGGTGGGTGAAGTTACAGCAAATTTTTGAACTGCGTATGTTGACCTTGTTTGATCGTTAGCTCACTTCAAAAAGTTTTTCCCGTTACTGAAAGTGGGTGTGGAACGCGAAAATAACAGGTAATATTTTATTGTTTTGTTGAAAATAGTGTGAAAATGAACTTTTATACAATTGTCAGTGAAAACGGGTGACTGTCATAACTTTTGAACGTGGGTGAGAAGCCTCGTGGCACAAGCATGTACACGATTTCAGCTGCGCGTCACAAAGACGGTCCTTTGTTCGTCTTTTCGGCGGTAAAATGTACCCTTTCATCAACATGACATCACCCTCGTGAGATTCACATTGAAAGAAGAATCGTTTATTCTGTCAGTAATGTATTTTGTTGTGGTATTTCGTAGTCCAGATTGTAGGATGTCAGCTTCTAAACAACCGAGACCTTTCTCGGCGGATGCATTTGCTGTGACCCAGTGACGGCTGCATAAATCATGAAAATGAGATGGTGTATAAATTTAGCCGGAATCTCCTAAGCTAGGTCAGTTTAAGTTCATCCTTACCAGCGCAGCAGTTGGGTTTTGCGTAACTCTTCAGTTTGGATGTAGTTAGTCTGTGTTATTGACAAATGTCAATTTGAAATAGACAAATTACTGACACCATCGAATTATCATTGTTACGGTAAGTGTGGTAGAACGGGGGTTTATGTCGAGCACACGTTTGGCTCATGATTTTATCGCGAGCGTACCAGGTGAACTTGCTTAGGGCGTTGAACTCTAAGTCTCAAATACTAATTGTACTAAGAGGTGTCCTGTCCGTGGCAATACTGCACATGGAGAGACGAAATGTGTAATGTGAAGTAGAATGTCAGGGAATGTGAATTTCATTATGATAGTGCTGCTCGGCGCGTGAGCCGGTGGTGTGAGTAACCCAAATCTGTGGGCGTTTGATTCATTTTCTGAATCATAATGAACTACAAGTGTCATTTCACTGCTTTGATGTAGTATTCTGGTTGGACGAGGCTGTGTCTAAGGCTGTGCGTTGTCAATTTCAGGTGTGGAAATTACCATAGACAAGCATCATGTTTAGTTTCCACAAGCCAAAAATCTACCGCAGCATCAATGGTTGTTGCATTTGTAGAGCAAAATCATCTAGCTCCCGATTCACTGACAGTAACAAGTATGAAGCAGAGTTTGAGAAATGCTTCCGAATTCGTGAAGAGAGAAGTGGCGAAATCTGCAATGCTTGTGTATTGTTAGTGAAAAGATGGAAAAAGTTACCTGAGGGCACCAATCGTCATTGGAATCACGTAAGTTTATTCGCATTTGAAAATTGTTATTTCTGTCTCCGAACATACCACTGTGATAACATTTATGCCTCGATAGTCATAGACATTGATATTCAGGTTTTCCCCATATTAATACTGATATTTCATCACTAGTGATCAGCACCATTCAACTGACCTCTCTTAGTGGCAGCTGTATGTATGTATCTATATATACAGGGCTTGAAATGTTATTCTTGTAAGGATGTTTGTTTCATCCACATGCCATAACAGGTACCATTGCACTTGTTACTCACTAGTAGTGTAAACAAAGCAGGGTATTTGACATGTTTGGATTTCAAATTGGTTGGTTGTTTTACGAAGGTAAGTAAATCATGCCAGTAATTAGCTGTCACTTGTCTATGTTTTGGCAACTAACAAGCTTACGTAACTGTAATGTTTGACTTAATGCTGTATGTCCCCATGGCAATCCCGCTGAGGACAAGATGAGTCATTGTTTGTGTGGGGGTAGGTTCACCCGGATGACAGTATCTTTGTTTATGCAGAACAAAGCCAAGTCATAGCCAGATCATTTGTTAGCTTCCATGAATTTAGAGTAAGCCTGTAGTATTAATATATTACATAATTGCCATTTATTACTTCAGAATGTCCCAGTTGTCAATTTGTTTAATAAGTATACTTCATTTAATAGGACATGGGCCTCGAGTTATAGTTTCGTATTTCATTTAATGGTGTCATAAATGACTTCTTAACTTGAGTTGTGACAATTCATGGAACTGATTTCTTTATCTAAGGGTCATGGCATTATCATTTTGTATTATTTGTAGCACACTTATTTGATGATAGTTTTGGTCTCAAATTTTTCTTTCATTTTTCACTCCTTATATTTTTGGTATATTTAGGCTGAAATGTAAATTTCATTGCTCTCTTGTGCTTAGGAATGTCAGTGATTGAGGGGAAAATATTTTTATCCAAGTTAAATACATTGTTTTAAGTGTTAATTCAGAAGCTGGTTTGGGTTAAAATATTTTATGTGTAATTTCTCTGGAAATGCTTTTGACAGTAAACTTCTGAATATTAGCTCATTTGCCAGCAGTGGTTGTCATGTGAATGGTTAAATGATTATTGGGTCCTGAAGTTTGAGACACTTTGGATGTCACTTCATGTCTTTAATATTACGAAAAAATAGAATAATTGCATCAAATCATATGCATGTTTCATCACCAACCTGTAGTGAGAATAAAGCTATTATTTCCATAGCCATAAAACCTTTCTTCTTTGCATATTCCTTCTTCGCTAGATCCTGATTTATAAATTCAGATTTGGACACAATTGCACTTTGCACAGAAATTTTATCTTTTGGAATTCCACATATTTCATCTGGTTGAAAAGCGGTGACTCTTTGACTTGGTTTCATACAGTAGTGCCTACTATCTACAGATAATGCTTCAAGTAGTTGATACAGCAAATACTACGAACTATGTGACCTACATACTTGTGAGCCTTGTTGGTTGGTGGAGTGTAGGCTAGAGTCGGTCATGTGGAAACTACTACTGAACCTTCCACTGTGACCTGGGATGGGCCAGGGAAAGGGTCTGTTGGCTGCGGCTTATCATTAGGAAAACAGCATCTATAGAAATGTATGTTATGATGCACTTGGAAAGTATTTTGACATGTACCTTTATGACACCCACGTGTTATAACATGACTGGAATTTTTTGTTTGGAATTTTGCGGCCAACAAGTAAACATCTGTGTGGCTTATTTTCCTAAGCATGTTCTTCGAATGTGATAAACAAAAGATTATTGTGACAGAACTATTTACAGTTCTGTCAAATGAGATTTGAAATGTATCATTTAAATGTCATTTGATGTAATTATGGAGATTTTCCGTATAATTAATGTTCGCAATCATATTCTGTGTTTCATTCACACATATCTTGAAATGTTGGAGCACATTATGTTTGATAAGTTAAGATGTCAGCCAGCCAGCCACAGTGTATCAGATCTGACAAATGTTGATCCAAACCACACATGAATTCCATGTTGTATGTTTAGCTAGCCTGGGGCCATTACACTAGATGTATGCAGATAGGCAGTATACCATGTGTAGCTTAGTGGAATTCCAACCCAGCACACTCCTCAATGTCTACACAGCCTTCACAGGAGGTGTAACCTGACACCACCCTCATCAGTAGATAGCCCTCTCTCACATGGTACAAATGCCATACATATACATGCATATAGCAACTCTTCCTGTTCTATATTAAAATATCAGGTTTTGTCAGGACAAGTGCAACATGTATACAAAGCAATCAACTATTTTCGAACAAGTATATGAGTCGCTATGAATTACTTTCTCCTGTATCAAATCAAATCAAATCAAATATTTATTGTGCAGACGTTCCATACAGAAACAGTGACAATATTCTATAAACTACATAAACAAGATATACAATGAATCACATATATATGATGAGCAACAAAACATATAATAATACAAATGTGTATAATAATAATATCACATAATTTTGACACCCAATTTACAAGTAATGAATGTGATACTTGTTGAAGGAACTGTTTTTTGTTCATATTTTCATGGCTCATGATTACTGAGTTAAAGTTTTCTGTTCTTTGTTACGCAACTTTAGTATATCTCAATGAGATGGTAAACATGTTTTGAAGCAGAGGGCGTCAATTTCTACACCCAAGAGTATGCCCCTAATATAACGGAAGTAATTGTGAGACGACGTCAAAGGGTTTTCATTGGTTGTGTAGGAGTGAAACATGGTAAACAGCACTTGTCATTCAATGTAGGTCACAACAGCTGGACATTACGACACTGGCAGTTCGGATATTACCAACAACTGTGTACTTCATTGTCAGTGGAGTAACAAGGAGATAACCACTGATAGCAGTAACATTCGGGGAATAACACTTTCTCCGAAAATATTTTGGCTAGGTATTGATTCATTATTTATATTTGGATTAAATGTATTAATAATATTCAGTCTTTCCAGATAAGAATGAACCTAACAGGAAAAATATTTTTAGCAGTTTGTGTGAATGAAAATAATTTCTTCCATGACATTCAAAGGTCCAGTGTGTTGTTGAAATATTCAGTATTGCTTGGTCTGATTTGTGTACAAGAATTTACTGAAAGACAACGTGGAATTTCTGTGACTGCTGCTGCGGTCATTGACACTGCTACTGCTGTGGTATTTTGGACTTATAATGGCTCCTTAATTATTGATCTGAAGGTCAGATGGCTCTTTTTGCCAGATTATTCACTCTGAAGCCATCTGTTAGGATTTTCGTTGTCTTGACGATGATGATTCTCGCTAGTCACCATGTTTCAGTTGAAATTTATAACTTAAGATAAATGTTTTAACAGCTTTATACTGATAAACGCTTGATGAAGTAATGTTTCCCACATGTATTGTTAAGGCAGGCATGTGATCTAAGGAGGGTATTTTTGAAAAATTAATCAGAGTTGATGTTATTATTTTTATTGAAAGTGGTCCATTGGTTTTTGAAAAGTAGATTTGTTGGATTGAACAGTTATTCAAGATTGTAGGAGATAGGGAGAGTTGGTTTGTTGGATTGAACAGTTATTCAAGATTGTAGGAGATAGGGAGAGCTGGTTTGTTGGATTGAACAGTTATTCAAGATTGTAGGAGATAGGGAGGAGTTATTCAAGATTGTAGGAGATAGGGAGAGCTGGTTTGTTGGATTGAACAGTTATTCAAGATTGTAGGAGATAGGGAGAGCTGGTTTGTTGGATTGAACAGTTATTCAAGATTGTAGGAGATAGGGAGAGCTGGTTTGTTGGATTGAACAGTTATTCAAGATTGTAGGAGATAGGGAGAGCTGGTTTGTTGCCTTTAACAAACATGTTGAAAATTAATTAAGATTTGTCAGATGTTAATATATATAACATAACAAGATATTCCTGTCTTGGCTGATTATAGCTGATGACACAAACCTGTTACAGGAACCAACTATTGATAGGTGGAAGGTTATTTCAAGCTAACATATACAAAACTTAAAAATATAACTACTACTGCCTGCCTACCAACCTTAATTTTCTGTGCCACAGATACGGAACCACAATATTTAGCTTTTCTGTCCTTAAAGACTGCATGGCACTAACTGTCACTTAGGATGTAATTTAGGCAACAACCTGCTTTTCAACATGCACACTGCCTATACATTGAAGTCTGTTTGAAAATGGCGGTGTATGGAGCCGTTTGCTTTTCCAGCCCTAGTCATACTGTGGGTATTTATCGAGCAAATGAGAAAGGCACTCAGTGAATGCAGAGGTCATGCCCGGAGTGAATGAGAAAGAAAAGCTTGATTATTGTGGAATATGTCAGTACTTGATTTGGTGTTCATGTCATTGTGACGGATGAAGGTTATTGATGCATAATTTTGAGAGATATTAGTCTTTTAGCTGTTGATAGTCATTGATTGGTGGAATCTGTATTTGACCTGTCGGTTGACATTGTGTGTCTACCATGTCGATTGCATCCATATGTAACAAGTCGGTGGGCTGTCAACCTGTCTGCAATCATGGTGTGTTGACACTGAAATTGATCACTCGGAGTCAAGACTACCTGTCAAATACTTGTAGCTAGGTAATTGGGATTTATAACTACCCATTTACTTAGTGTACATTTTCTTTTCAGAGGAATATTTGTTAATGATAAATCTTGTTAGAGTTAATAAAGGAAAGAAATGTTGTTTTTTCAGCTCCTTGAGTATATTTGTTGAGCCTATGGAGGTAATTCTATGCTGCTCCTTGTCTGTTAATTACAGTTGTCTTTAACTGGTATTCAGATGTATGTAGGGGGGATATTCAAATTAGGTGGCAGGGGTGGAAATAACCCATTGCCCAACGTCAGAGTCCAGTGGTTTTTTCTGTCAGGCAAGCAAATTTGTATATCCCACTGTACCGGTGTTCAGTTGACTTTCCAATGTTAATTATGTTGTTTATTTAAAAAATCAGCAAGAAAACGGTCGGTA